GGTACATTTCTGGATCATTGTAGTCTGGCTACAGATTAAATGGAAAACTGGATGTGAAAAGCATAGACCGTACACATTTGATAATGCTGTTGTTGTTCATACTAATCCTTCGGGTTTCCACCTTTGACATCATTTCTCCCAATTCGCCCCTGATAACCACTCCCAGCCTCTCTGGGCAGCTCCGGTGTGGCCCCTGTGCCAGCGCCCAGCTATCCAGTGGTTCCTAACCCTGGCAGCCAATTAGAACCCTTGGAGAGCTTTTTAAAAATATCCATGCCCAGGCCACATCCCCCCCCCCCCACCCCTGCTCCCCCGCAGACCAATAACATCAGAATTTCTCAAAATCTTTCTAGAGCATGAGCTCACCCTTAGCCTTCCCTTGGGCCAGTGAGAGGTAATGGAAGCTGGGCATCTAGGCTCCAGGCTAGGAGAGAATCTCAGCACCTCCGCTCGGGCCCTGGATGGGGAAGTGTGAACCCAGCCAAGCAGTATCGCTCACCTGTGTCTGTCCTCAGTTTCCAAGTCTTCCTGGGGGAAACGCTATAGTCTACCATCAGTGTGTTCTCAGCCCTCTGTCTTCTCTTTTTCAAACGAACCCTCTCCACGGTTTTGCAGGACAACCCACACTAACAATGGTGATGATAATAGCCGATGTTCTGAGCACTCGCCGCGCCCTAAGGACTGTGCTGACTGCTGGAGAGGTTACAGACATCTTCCTCTTTCATTAAATATGCCACCGTTCAGATTTCAAAGTTGCAATGGCTGCTTTCTCCTGATGTACAATAGCAGGTTCGTTCTTAGGCAGGGAATGCACTTGGCCAGTAAGGTTGTGGAGATGTGGTGACCCGTTCCCTCCAGACCCCTGACAATGGAAGCTGATATCCCTTCAATGCCCCTAATTTCTGCTCTTCTTCTCCCAAACGGAGGCACTGAGCACTGGGAGGCAGAAGCTGGGGAAGCGTCAGCAGCAGGTGCAGACTTCAGGCTCTCCAGTGGCTCGGTAATCCCCCATGGGGAAGACCCTGGATTCAGTTTTTCAGGAGGGGCCTGGCTGAGGCCACCGGCTGCTCCTTGCTTATGGTGGGCTTACCTTGCACTAGCACCTGTGGGCTGAAGACGTCACACACACATTGGATCCTCGTATCAGCCTCCCTCACCAGCCGCCCCCCCCATTCTTGTGGATAAAGAAACAAACACTTGCAGAGGTCAAGTGACAAGGTCACACACAGTGGTGTCAGACCTCATATCCCTAGCGCCCCTCTTACTTCCTGATCCCAGAGCCCATGCTCAGTCCCGCCCTGGAACCTGCTATTTTCTTTGCTTACTCGCTTATTACCTGAAACCCCATTAGACCCGTGAGGGCAGATTCCCACATCTGTCCTGTTCTGCAGAGTCTAGTACTGTCCCTGAGACAGAGTAGGCTGGGCAGGGCGGGGTGATATTCTAACTCTTTAACAACTGATAGGGCCAGGGCACTGACTGCTGAGAATGGCCACTGCTCCCAAGGCAGCTACTTATTCCCAGAGGGCCTGGAAGGGCGGGGGAGGTATCTGTGTTTTAGAATGTAGGTTTTACTATTGTTCGGTTATGGCAAGGCCAAAAGATCAGGAGACGATGGGCCACTGAAAAACTTGCTTGTTGTACTCGCAGGTCCCAAGAGGAGATCGCTTGTCACATTGCAGGGGCACACGTGGGGAAGCACCAGAGTCCGTTAAGAGACAAAGGGAACAGGGAAATGTGAGCGGGAGTTTTCGCTCTGGTCTCTGCAGGAAGGTGAGGCAGGGTAGACATGCTCGTTTGGATAATTTCAGCCAGCTTTGGGGCACAGGGGCTGTCTCTCAGTGTCTGGCACCTGCCCTTGGATGATTAACGGCAGGTGGATAGTGGTTTAGACTGTAAGACTGTGATAAAGACTGTGGTTGGGTGTGGGGTCTGGATTTGTTGGTTTTCATACACAAAATGTGCTTGCAGGTGAGTCCTTCACTATCTCTAGGAATTAGCCAAGCTTGGGAGGGGCAGTCCCTCCAGGGTCAACAAGTCCCCAAGTGGTCAAAGCATCAAATAAAAAGACATGCATGACACAGGCTAGGATAATGAGGTCACCTTAGAGGTGTAGGCAGTGTTTTTTTATCAAGCGGTACTGAGCTATTTCAATATTTGGACACCTGATGCCACCGTACCTGGGCATAGAGTTGAATTGGCGCCGAGCTTGGAGAAAGGCACTCAGTAAATAGACCTGGAATTGCTGACCTTGGGGGGCCGGGCCTGGAATCTCTCCCTTTCCTCATATCTCAGTTATCCTTGGAGAACAGCCATGGCAACGTTGTTGCATGTGGCTACCCTTCCCTTTCCCTCAGGAGCCTCCCCATCGCTCACATTGCTTGCACCCAGGAAGCCTTAGAGCTGGGGGTCAGGGAGACTTGCCCTGCTGCAGATAAGGGACACAGTTGGCCCTCAGTAATAGGCAGCAGGTCCCTCAGCAGGTCTTGAGCCTTCCACCCCTTTTGACAATTCTCAGGCTCCGGACATTGCCGGAAGGAGCCCCCCCCCCCACTGCAGCCCAGCCCCCTACCAGCTCCAGGTGTTGGCTCATTTAATAGACAATATTGATTTTCACATTATGATGCACAACTTGTGAGGCACCGGGTGGGGGGCGGGGGGAAAGAGAAGCCAGCGCTGATTCCGGGAATTTATTTCGAGACACATTAATTTGTTTCTTCCCTTCAAGGTCAAATCAAGGCATCTCCATATATCACCACTGGCAGTCACTGGCTGGCAGGCAGTTGAGAGGGGGCAGAGGTGGGGGCTGCAAATAGGACTTTCCTGGGAGCCAGGTCAAGGGAGTCTGGTGGGGAAGCGGGTTCCAGGCACCCCCCTGTCCCAGGCTCAGGAAAAACACTCTTCTATTTCGCTTGGAGGTCTCCTGTGACGGGCTGAGTCATCTAGTTGAATGTCAAGGCTTGTGTCTTTAAGCTGGAAGATCAGAACTGAGATCCTGCCTTTGGCCTAATTTTCCAGGGCGACCTACCCTCGCCATTCATTTACTCAGTACATATTTATTACTTGATGTACCAAACATTGCACTGAGCACAGCAGACCCAGAGGGTGGGCTTCCTGCTCTCCCCACTCAGGGTCCCACCAGTCATAAGCCTGGAAGCGGCAAGCATGGAAATAATGGCTTCGTTTTCCTCCCTCCCTCACCAGACCCTCACGGTATAAGGACACCCATTACACTGTGCCACTCGTGGCAGGTGCCCAGGAAATATTTGTTGAACAAACATCAACGGAGTAGGAATTTTCCTCCTCTCATCCTTGAAAGTAGAGCAGTTAGGGTTACTTTTGGTTTTTAGGATTGTTATTATTTCTTCCAAGCTGGTGTGCTGTGTGGGTAGGGATGAGGGCAGACTCTGGCAGCCTGGTGGGAGTCTGAGCTGAAACCCTGAAGAATTAGCCAGTGAGGAGGGTGAACTAGCCAGAGAGTAATCGTGGAGAGAGAGAAGTGTAATCAAAGTTCTGGTAGCCAAGAGAGGGCTTGTCTGGTTGGAGGAACAGAGGGGAAATTAGGTGGGGCTGGAGGGTGAGGGTAAGGGGTTAAGGTAGTGCAGAGAGAGAGAGCCCAAGGACAGATCCCATAATGCCTTGCAAGTCTCGCCAAGAGGCTCATACTCAATCCTTCCAACAATGGGGGACCATAAAAGGACTTCAAAAGGGACATGCCTTTCATCTAGGCTCATGTGTTTTCTTCTGCCGGTGAGCCCTCTCCCCCCACTCCTACCCTTACTTGCTCATGTCCTACACCGCTGCCCATCTTCAAGTCTGACAGGTGTTCTCCCCCTCCTCTGATAAGCCATCATCCCTCTCCTCCTCCCCCTGAAAAGCCCCAACTTGAAATATCATCTGTCTTCTCTTCCTACAAGGTGACGGACTCACTGAAGCCACCCTTACATTTTCTTTGTTGAGAGAAAGGCAGAACGAGGTAATATTTCATCGTAAGTCTGGAGTCAGATTGCCTGGGCCCCCTACTCACCAGGTGTGTGATCTGGGGCAGTGCTCTTAACCCTTCTATGCCTCTGTTCCTTCATCTGTAAAGTGCGGAAGAGAGTTGAATATACCTCATAGAGTTGCCGAGCAATGACATGGATTGCAACAGGAAGCACTGGCATGGTGTCTGGTACACAGGAAGGAATTAAGTGAGGGACGGGCATGCTTTTCTCTGCATGTTTGTTATGGATCTGTGAGCTCCTATGAGCAGAAATTATGACTCCTTGTTTACTATATCCTTGGCTCCTAGCATGGGACCCAGCAAGTAGGTGCTCAGGAAATATTCACTGACTTCTGCCATCATTTGTGGGCTTAGACATGCCCTTGAAATTCAGCCCAGGAGCCCCTCCTTAGCTCTTCCAACAGCAAACATCTAGGTTCAAGTTCTGTTGTTATCCTGTGACTTACCAAAGTCACTTAGCATCAGCTTTTTCATTGCAAAATGGATGTCTACTTCTTAGGGTGTCATGGGGATTAAATGGGATTGGCTCCAGGGATAGAGCATGTGACCCAGTTTGGGTCAGTGAGATTAAAAAAAAGTCTTCTAAGAACTTCTGGAAAATGTCTTGTGCACTTAGAAAGGAGAAAGTCAAATGAGAAGACTTTTTTTTTTTTTTTTATCCCCCACCTTCTCTTCCTGTGTGTTGTCATATGAAGATGAGATGAGATGACTGGAGCTATTGCAGCCATTTTGCAAACATGAGGACAGATCTTGTAGACTTATCAGAGATGGCAGAGGAAAAAGAACTCTGGGCTCTTGGTGGCATAAGAATGGAAACAATAGCCCTGAAATCACTCGTCTCCAGACTCCTTATAAAGTCAGACATAGATGTTTGTTATTTAAACCATTCCTCTCTGAGCATCATTACTTGCATTACTTGCACAAGCAAGTATCTAAGTGAACCTGGGTATCTAAGTGGTATAGCATTTAGTTTGTCATCAAAAGAAACACACAAAGCTAAGAACATCAGCTCCTTTATTATTATTATTTACTGTTACTTCCCCCTAAACAACAGCACAATTCAAATAACAATGACACACATGTCTCACTCATATACACAATACCACTAGCCTGCCTGCCAGTCTGTCTGGCCTTTGCTTGGTTCCTGGTGGAGCTGTGTGGAGACAGCCCCCTCTGTAAAAATCCCAAATTGGACATAGGAGGCACAAGAAAGGGGAGACTCTAGCCAGAGAATAAATGGGCTTCCAGAGGCCTCAGGGAGTGCCAACTTGGGAACATGCTATAAATGCCTGGGTGAAGAGCAGAAGGCACTGTTTTCATGTGGCTGTTGGATAAATCCCACATGGGGAGGGAAGACCGATGTATAACCCTCTGGAGGCCAGGGCTGCAGAAACACAATGGGGAGAGCTAATGAGCTCCATCAACCACACCGTGGGGCAGGCATGGAAACTAGGAGCCCAGAATAGGAATCTGGGTGACAGAGAGGTCCCCAGAGAAAAACAACCTTTTGCATTAGCTGCAAGGTAAGATACAATGTGAAATATTACGTCCCCTTCTATCTGTTTTTGCAACTATAGAACGTGCAACGTTTTCATCATGATTGAAAAGGTAAAGAAAGAAAATCTCCCAGCATCTTGGCCTAATGCAATTGAGCAGGACATGTCAATTGTACTGTCCTGTGGAAACACCTACTGCGGCACTACCCAGTGAGTCCGTAGTCAGTCCACCCCCACCCGTAACATTTTAGTCACACTAAATCTACGCATTCAGCTAAAGTAATGTGCTCTGGAATCAGAGAAGCCTTGGAGTTGGGGAGGGATAAAGATGGACCAAGACTGAGGTCTCAGGAACAGATGACTTCCTGGCTGTCTTGGGGAAGCTCGTTGTTGAAGCTGCTCTCTCCAAATGGTGAGTAGGGGGGGACCTGGGGGGCCTCGATGATCAGCAGACCCTCTGGGGAAAGCGAAGCAAATACTGTCACAGGATCCACCTCTGCGGGAAGCCTAGGAGAAGCACAAGATATTATTCATGAATTATTTTTAATGTAGCTTACACTTGAAAGAAAATGTGTTTTAAATTTTTTAAGTGTTTATTTTTTGAGAGAGAGATAGAGTGTGAGCGGGGGAGGTACAGAAAGAGAGACACAGAATCCGAAGCAGGCTCCAGGCTCCAAGCTGTCAGCACTGAGCCCGACGCGGGGCTCGATCCCATAAGTTGTGAGATCATGACCTGAGCCAAAGTCGGCTGCCCAACGGACTGAGCCACCCAGGCACCCCAAGAAAATATTTTTTTTAAGTTTATTTATTTTCAGAGAGAGTGAGAGAGCGCGTGAGCAGGGGAGGGGCAGAAGGAGAGAGAATCCCAAGCAGGCTCTGCATTGTCAGCACAGAGCTCTATGAGAGGCTTAAACTCATGAACCATGAGATCATGACCTGAGTCGAAACCAAGAGTTGGATGCTTAACTGACGGAGCCACCCAGGCACCCCAAAAGAAAATGTTTTTGATACAAATTTAGGCTCTTAGGGCATACAACACCGGGTTTGAATCCTGGCCCTGCCCTTTCCTGGCTGTATGATCTTGAGAAGGTCACTCAATTGCCCTGAGTTAATTTCCTCATCTGCAAACGGAGATACTCCGTTAAGCTTCCAAGTAACATTAAACTTGTAAAGTATTCAAAGTGAGACAGAGTCTGAACATGCTTTGCAAATGGGAAAGTGGTGTTGCAACAGTAACTTAAAAGGTTCCTGGGACCCCGATATTTGGTCCTTGGTTGAGGTCTTTACTCACACTGGACTGGCTGCTGGCGGAAATGACCACCATCTCCCTTTATAGAACTAAAGTAAGGTGTTGCTCACAGCAGGTAACACATTGTCATTTGCCACGTGCCTGCTGAGAGTGCTTTATTACAGAATGCGTCACTGGTGAATTAATGATGGAACAGGCTGGCCACATGGTAACATACTCTATGATGCTTAGAATGAGCCTTGAGGGGCGCCTGGGTGGCTCAGTTGGTTAAGACTCCAACTCTTTATCTCAGCTCAGTTCATGATCTCACGGTTTGTGAGTTCAAGCCCTGCACTGGGCTCTGCACTGATAATGGGAAGCCTACTTGGACTTCTGTCTTTCCCCCTCACCTGCTTGTGCTCTCTCTCTCTCAAAGTAAATAAATAAACTTAATAAAAAGAAAAAGAATGAACCTTGATTTGGGTCACATCTGAAGTAGCTCTTGGCAGGTCATAATTACTTAGTTCTCAAAACACATTTATAGGCATTACCTGGCTAGAAGTGCATAATGAGCCTACAATGGTTAATAGGCAGGAATTAATGTGCCTGTTGCATAAAACATTTAACAGAGACTTGGGGAAATCAAGCGACATGCTCACTGAGTGAGAACCTCAAAGACAGGATTTCTGAGTCCAACTCTGCCTCCAGTTCTGAAGCTATATATTATGATTTTTTTGGATCGTTTTGGGGTGAATGAGGCAATCTGAGACACGGTTCCTTCAACATACTACTGGCATCATGAGAACATGCTCATGGCCTCACTGGGATGCCATTATGAATAAAGATGATGGGAACTATGACTTTCACCTGCGTATCATCTCATTTAGTTGTTAACAATAATTCCACCAGGCATGTTCCGTTACTGTCCCGAGTTACAGCCAAGGAGATTGAGGACAGAGAGGTGAAGAGATTTGCCCAAGGTCACGCTGCTGGTAAGAAGCATATGGGAATGGAATTGGAATCTTGGTCTCCAAACCCAGAGTCGCCGATCATGATGTTCTGCTCTCCTGCCTCCTCTGGCACCAGACTTTTGATAAAAGGATCATGGTAAGGAAGCTAGGAGGGCCAATCAGCCTGGATCCTTCCACTGGTCTGGGATGGCTCTGCCTGTTATAAATGCAGGGGTTTTGATGAAAGAACCAAGAAATGAGCCAGACAGCATTCCTGGTCAGGGGAGGATCCTTCCTGAAGGGGCTGCAGCATTTTTGCTGTGAGTAGCAACATGTAGCTACATGAGCGGCATCTCCCCAGGAGGCGTCTGCCAAATTAGAGCCACGGAGATTAACAAGGGGCCTTGCTGGCAAGGATGGAAGAGAAGGAGGGACCTTGGTCAGATGCCAAGTCAAACTTCTGAAGCACAGACAAGGCCAAAATCTGGACCTCCCTTCCACTGCTGGGGATGGGCTGACTCTGTTTAACTATTTACATGCTAACCGGTGGCATACCTGGTACAGTGAGGCAGGGCAGCCCTGGTCCAGAGCATGACCCTTGCAGGCAGGTGGATCTGAGTCTGAATTCTGCTTCTTGCTGGCTGTGTGACCTGGGACTGGTGATCTAGCCCCTCTGAACCAATGTCCTTATATGAAAAGTGGGTTAACAGTTTCTGCCTGGGAGAGTTACACGGGATAATGAAAGTGAAGGGCTTAGCCCAGTGCCAGGCGTACCCTAAGTGTTCAATAAATGTTAGCCCCTACGTTGTTGCTGCAGTCACTGACCATTTAAGTGGGCACCTGGATAACTGTGAATATTTTAGTACACGGTTGTGGTATCACCGAACTCCAAAATGTCAGAACCCAAACAATCTTCTTGATTGTTCAGGACAGTGCTCTCATATTACATATGGGGAAACTGAAGCTTAGAGACAAAGATAGACTCGTTCAAGATCTCTCACCAGCTGACCGATATGTTGAACCACCATGGAGGGAAAATGATTCCTCTTCCATTCTCTCTCAATCTTTCCATTTGCATCCAAATGAACATCTCAGCTAACCGTTACCATGATCTTTAATGCTGTTAGCCTCTATCCCTTGCTATGGTCTCCTTTTATTTATTTATTTATTTTTTAATAGTTTATTCTCAAGTTGGTTTCCATATAACACCCCATGCTCATCCCCACAAGTGCCCTCCTCCATGCCCATCACCGCCCTGCCCCTCCCCCCACCCCCATCAGTCTTCAGTTTGTTCTCTGCATTCAAGAGTCTCTCATGATTTGCCTCTCTCCCTCTCCCCCACTATTTTCTCCCCTTCTTCTCCCCCACGATCCTCCATTAAGTTCCTCCTAAGCCTCCTATACTTGCAAACATATGGTATCTGTCCTTCTCTGCCTGACTTATTTTGCTCAGCATAACACCCTCAAGTTCCATCCACATTGCTACAAATGGCCAGATTTCATTCTTTCTCATTGCCATGTAGTATTCCATTGTAGAGATAAGCCACATCTTCTTGATCCATTTGTCAGCTAATGGACACTTAGGCTCTTTCCATGATTTGGCTATTGTTGAGAGTGCTGCTATGAACATTGGGGTACATGTGCCCCTATGCATCAGCACTCCTGTGTCCCTTGGGTAAATTCCTAGCAGTGCTATTGCACATAGGGGAGTTCTATTGTTAATTTTTTGAGGAACCTCCACACTGTTTTCCGAAGGGCTGCACCAGTTTACATTCCCACCAACAGTGTAGGAGGGTGCCCGTTTCTCCACATCCTTGCCAGCATCTAGAGTCCTCTGATTTGCTCATTTTAGCCACTCTGACCAGCATGAGGTCCACCAGAAGCCTACTAGAACTGATCCAAGAATTCAGCAAAGTTGCAGGATACAAAATCAACGTACAGAAATTGGTTGCATTTTTATACACCAACAATGAAGCAACAGAAAGAGAAATCAAGAAACGGATCTCATTCACAATTGCACAAAATACCATAGAATCGAGGAATAAACCTAACCAAAGATATAAGAGATATGTATGATGAAAACTATAGAAAACTTATGAAGGAAATTGAAGAAGACACAAAGAAATGGAAAAATATTCCATGCTCATGGATTGGAAAAATAAATATAGTTAAGATGTCATTACTACCCAAAGCACTCTACACATTCAGTGCAATCCCAATCAAAATTGCACCAGCATTCTTCTCAAAACTAGAACTATCCTAAAATTTGTATGGAACCACAAAAGACCCCAAATAGCTAAAGTAACATTGAAGAAGAAAACCAAAACGGGAGGCATCACCATCCCAGACTTTAGCCTCTACTACAAAGCTGTCATCATCAAGACAGTATGGTATTGGCACAAAAACAGACACATAGACCAATGAAATAGAATTGAGAACTCAGAATTGGACCCAAAAGTGTACAGCTAACTAATCTTTGACAAAGCAGGAAAGAATATCTAATGGAAAAAGGACAGCCTTTTTAACAGATGGTGCTGGGAGAACTGGACAGCAACATGCAGAAGAATGAAACTAGATCACTTTCTCACACCATACACAAAAATAAACTCAAAATGGATAAAGGACCTGAACATGAGACAGGAAACCATCAAAACCCTAGAGGAGAAAGCAGGAAACAACCTCCTTGACCTCCACTGCAGCAATTTCTTACTTGACACATCCCCAAAAGCAATTGAATCAAGAGCTAAAATTAACTTTTGGGACCTCATCTATATTAAAAGCTTCTGCACGGCAAAGGAAACAATCCATAAAACTAATAGGCAACCAACAGAATGGGAAAAGATAGTTGCAAATGACATATCAGATAAAGGACTAGTATCCAAAATCTATAAGGAACTCCCCAAACTCCACACCCGAAAAACAAACAATCCAGTGAAGAAACGGGCAGAAGATATGAACAGATGCTTCTCCAAAGAGGACATCCTGATGGCCAACAGACACATGAAACGATGCTCAGCATCCCTCCTCATCAGGGAAATACAAATCAAAACCACACTGAGATACCACCTCACGCCAGTCAGAGTGGCTAAAATGAGCAAATCAGAGGCCTCTAGATGCTGGCGAGGATGTGGAGAAACGGGCACCCTCCTGCACTGTTGGTGGGAATATGGTCTCTTTTTAACAGAAGAAGAGCTGGATGTAAGGTTTAAACCCTTTTGCAGGTAACTGCTCCCTGTTCTCTGATGGCCCAAGTTTTTCCAAGGAGAGGCGATGGAGCCTCCTGAGAATGGGTCAGGGCCATCTTTGGTGTCTAGAGCCTGGGCAGAGCCAGGGGGTCCTGGGAGGTCCCAGCTGCTTTCGTGTGACTCCAGCCTTGCAGACTGAACACTGAGTCTGTACCCTTGCTGAATGCTTTCCACGCATGCTCTCATTCCCCATCACAACTTGGTCCAGAGGGAACGTGGGGACAAGCTCAGAGCAGTTCAGCTGGTTGTTCGAAGTTACCCACTCACCTTATCATGGAGTCAGGTCTCCCTGTACCCAGAGCTGAGCTTCAAAATATTTAGCAACTGGCACAGCTGGACAATGACGAGACAGAATGAATGGACACATGCCGTAGTGATGGAGGAGGGTCCTGGGGACCCCCTGTGGGTGGGATGTGGGGAGGCTCGGAGGGCCCTGGGGCCAGGGTCAGGAAGGCCAGGATGGCTAGGGAGGGCACTGGCGGGGGGGGGTGCTCAATGGCTAGCCCAGTATTACACCAAGTAGCTGAGCTCAGCTGCTGGACCCCGGCTGAGTCGCAGCCTATATGCCCTGAGCAGCTTTAAATATTTCTATTGGCCGAGTCACCCCAGCAAGCTGTTTTCCCGGAGGCCTCAGGGATGGGGAAATCCACGTTTTAAAAAGATGATTAACCTGCTGACTTCTTTCCAGCTCAATCCCTTCCACGGCGTTGCCCTGCCTGTGACTCCATCCTGAGACCTTATTTGAGTCTCTTCAAAGAAACATCAGCCTCCCCAAATTGTCTCCCCTTTCCTTCCCCCCTCCCTCTCAGCAGCGTGTGAGCCGGCTACTGCTACTGGACCAGGAAGAGGTGTGGGTCTTGGGGATGGCAGGCGAGCCAGCGAGCGTGAAGAGAAACAGTTAGCTGTTTGCCTTATCAGGAAACGTCCGCGGGCTTCTAAGAACTGGGAGGCGCCGGGCGGGTCAGGAATGGGGCTCGTGGCTGGAGACGGGACTGCAGAATCCCAAAGCTGAAGGAAGCCTCTTCAGCTGGTGCAATCTCTCCAGACCAGGACATCTTTGCCAGGGCTAGGGGTGGAGTGCTCAACAACATCAATGACAGTAATAACAACCTGCCACTCAGGAGGCCCAACTGTGTGCTGGTGGCTGTGCTGTGATCTCATTTCTTTTTCACTCGGAGGCTCTGGAATCAAGACCCACCCCCCTCCCTTTCACGGGTGAGGAAAGGGCATCCTTTGCTCCAGGCATGAGCACCGAGCTGAGTTCAGGGATGGGTTTGGGGCTCCTTACACTTCTAGGAATTTAATTTCCCCAACATACAAGGAGGGTAACGTCTCTTCTGCTCGCTGCAAAGATTAAATGCACTGACTGGGACACGACCTTAGAGCCAGAGGTGCAGGCAGCTGGACGAATTCTGAGTACAGGGAGCACAGGGAAGAGGTGTGTCCCATCAGCACTTTGCTGTGGCTCCCTGCCTACAGGCATCACCCTTAGGGCCTTGGTGTGGCTTTGATTTACTGGCCCAGCCTGGTGGCCTTCCTGCTGCTGCATGAGTCCCCTAGGCTCAGCCCTTCCCACACCCCTCACCGAAACCCGTCCTTCATGCGCCTCAGTGCCCTTCTCAGTCTACAAACCACCCCCCTTGGAGGAAACAGAAATGTCAGGACAAGTTCTGGTTTCATTCTTTTGGATGCTGTAGGGAAGGCTCCCGCTCTCCCAGTGGTGGCGGGACACTCAGAGCAGGCAACCTTCGAAAGATTCCATGGGGCACCGGGGCATCAGGGGAGGGTCTCTCTTCATGGTGACGGAGATCCTCTCCCCAGCATGCCACGGGGCGGGTGCCTCGATTTTCACGGGATCACAAACGAATCATTTGGCTTCTCTAACTCTCAGGCTCTTCGTCTATAGAGCGGCATCGTTAATTCCCCACCTCACGGGCACTGAGCCCGGGTGTCATGGCATGATCTATGTGTCCCTTTCTGGGACCCTACCGCAGATTTGCTGTGACACTCTCTCCCCTTTAGGTGTGAGGGTTCAATCCCCAGCACTGGGGCTTGTCTGGAAAGAGAGATGCCCAAGATGGAGACATTCCAGATCTTGGGTCCCAGGCACTACCCGCTCCTCCCACGTGGAACCCACACTGCCAGGGCACTTACTGGATTTTCTTCGTGAAGTTCTTGGAAACGATGCCACCTTCTTGCTGCTTCTCTTCGTGTTTGCCTAGAGGGGAGCAGATGCCACACATAAGCGTCAATGTCCCCCAGGACTTCTTGGGTCAGGAGTCAGACTCGGGTTCAAATCCTGCCCCTGCCCCCACCTCACCATTTGGCCTAGTGACAAAAGTTTTCTCAGCCTCTCTGGTCCCTCAGCTACTAAACGGACCCACCCGAGCCGAGGCTGTTGTAAAGATGAAATAAGACAAGGGGCCAGACAGGAGGCCTCGATGCTGGTTTATAGGCAGTTACAAGTTAGATTTAGAAAATCACGGACACTGGGGCGCCTGGGTGGCTTAGTCGGTTAAGCATCCGACTTTCGCTTAGGTCATGATCTCGCGGTTCATGGGTTCGAGCCCCGCATCGGGCTCGGCTTTGTGCTGACTGCCAGCTCAGAGCCTGGACCCTGTTTCAGCCTGTGACTCCCTCTCTCTCTGACCCTCCGCTGCTCACGCTGTCTCTCTCTCTCTCTCTCCTAGAAATAAATAAAACATTAAAAAAAAAAAAAGACACTGAACCACATGTTGCATTGTATCTTCTAAGTCTTGCCTCTGAGCCTTTTCCCCTAGGTCTTGCCTCTGAGCCTTTTCCCCTAGGTCTTGCCTCCGAGCCTTTTCCCCTAGGTCTTGCCTCCGAGCCTTTTCCCCTAGGTCTTGCCTCTGAGCCTTTTCCCCTAGCCAGCCAGTCGAACCCTGAAGCTCACAACCCAGGAGGGTGGTAGGAAAGAAGTGCAGTCTGTGCTGAGAGCTAGTCTGCTACCCATTTGGCTTTACGATGCACAGAGCCTTTCCTAGCTCTGAAGGCGGGCTTCTTTCCCCCTTGGTAACTGATATGGAAACTGAGGCCCAGTGACGGGTCCAAGGTCATGCAGCAGGTGTACGGCAGCTCCAAAGCAGCTCCCTCTGAGTCTGCACCAAGTGCTGGGGGTCTGATGCCCTTCTGCCCGTTCCAGCTTGCAATTAGCTCTTTGAGCCACATTATCTGTACCTAAAACTGGATGAACTGCCTGGAAATGATGTTTCGATCTGCTAAACAAACAAAAAACAGAAAAAACCCACCCAGACTCTCCGAAGGGGGCTTCCCTTAAGAAATGACACCTTAGACACCACAGATTTGAAATTCTACCTGCTCCACCTTCTAGAGGGTAGCAGGGGAGGGCAGTTTTCTTTCTTAGGAAGGAAAAAGATAAGATTACAAGAAGGTTTGGGCCCAAGCTGGCTATCACCTTGCAATTTATAGAGCAACTTCTGAGCCTACTGGCTGATCCTCACTCTTTTTCTTTTATTTTCTTTTTAATGGGGAGAGTCTCTAATTTCTCTTTACACAAACCGGATTAGTGCCAAGTAGAGACTTTCGGCTCCTATTTTTATTTGCTCCTCCTCTGTGGGGCCACATTCCCGGGCCAAGAACCCTCATTTCCACAGGGCACCCTTCTGAGAAGCTTTGGAATCTAGACTGTAAATAACCTCGTGGGATTTTTTTTTTTTTTGGCAGCCCAGGTTTTCAAAAAACTGACGATTTATAGGCGATTTTATTATCCATTACTTTTTTTATTATTCCTAATTTCTTTATTACTGACTTCGTTCTGACTGTGAGATAATAGATGTGTTTGCTAGAAAGTGTAGAAAATACAGAAATAAATGATCAAAACTGCTTGTCCTGCCATTATTGTGACAAGGCCACATTTCTGTATACGCTTCAGACTTTTCTTTCTATGAACATAAATGTTATATAGGATATCATGTATCTTAGCAAATGGGATCATACTGTATGTGATGCTCGAAACTGTTATCTTTTGCCAACACATTATAATTATTTCTCCAGGCTACGGCAAATATTCTTCGACAACGTGATTTTTTTTAATGGTTGCACAGCATTCCCTAAGCTCATTTTAGCCAATCCCTGGCTTTCTGGGGACTGAGACAGCATCTGACCTTAGACAGAACCTCACGGCACCGCACATTCTTTGTGCGGATCTTTGTGTCTGGCCTGATGACATCTTTAGGATAAATTCTAAGTTCTAGAATTTCTGAGACTTGATCTGTGTTGCCAAACTGCCCTTAGGAAAAGTTGCATCAATTTAGTCTCTCACTGGCTGGGCGGCAAGGGGTCCACTGACAGGAATTCGCTCTTAAACTGGAGGGTCTGGTTCCCCAGAACATGCTATGCTTTGAATATGTTGTCCCTGGGAGAGTCGATTTGGTCTTGCCAAATCCCTGAGTACCAACTGTCCAGCCCTAACCCAGGCCTGTGGCCGGAGGAGCACTGTCTGTTCTCTGACGCCCTCCCCCCAGAGCCTGGGCCTCCAGAGGCCTGCTTGCCCTGGGGACTGGCCAGTGCCTCTGACTCAGCCCTTCTGTACCATTGGTGTCCTGGGAATAATAAGCAACAGCAATGATCCAAAGAATAGTAATAATGAACTCTTATATGGTGCTTTATTGGTGGGAGCCAATGCCCCAGCCCCTTCCTAGAGCGACTCCTTTAATTTTCACAACAACCTTAGAAAGCGGGGACTTCCATTATAACCATTTTGTGGATGGGGAACAGAAGTTCAGAGAGGTTAAGCGGTATGCCCAAGGTCACACAGCTTGGAAGTGCCAGAGCAAAGACATGTAAGTTTTGGATGTCAGTCTCTGCTCATCTCTACTCTTCTCTGAGCCTCAGTTTATGCTTCTCTAAAACGAGGGTGACAATAAGCTTTCCTGTCCGTTCCCTGAAAATAGGGTATTGGGGTTGTGGGGGGAGGATCTCTGAGCAGGGGCAGCTCCAAGATTTCCATAGAGAGGAGCCTGGTTGAAAGTGGATGCCACTACCAGAGGCTTATCTTGAAGCTTAATTTGCATATTTTTGAATATCTATTTATTGGGGCAGTTTAAGGATTATGAGGGATTTTTAATTTCCTATTTTGCTTTCCTAGTTGCATTTTCTACCATGGAAATATTTTATTTTCGTAAACAGAAAAAAGTAATTATGATTCTTTAAAAAAAAAAAAAAAAACTCCTCTGGAGGCCCAGGCAAGCCAGAGGCCCCTCGCAGCTGCTATTTTTTCAACATGCCTGAGAGAAATGTAGGTGCCAGGAAGCAGGCATCAGCACTTTGGGGAAAGCCATTGGCCCAGCTAAAGAAAGAAGGTGCTGTTTCCAGGGGAGGCAGAGTCCCTGGGATTAAGGAGAGGGGGTGGGAATAAGGCCTCTGGGCTTTCCAGTTCCTCCTCGGCCAGGGCCGCGCCCAGTGGCCCATGAAGAGAACATTTCTTGGCTGCTGGCTGCAGGGTGGGAGTTGGGTTGTATGGTTGTATAAGCATCATGGAAAGCATCTAGTTCAGCATTTTCCAGACACTTCCCTGGAACTGGACACTCACATGTGGTCTGATAAGACAGGACTGCCTCCAGAGATCCATAAACTACATTGGCAAATCAAAGCTCTGATAAGTCCTGTAGTAAGGAAACTTGTTTAGAATCTTGTTTCTTCTGGTACCTTTAAAATTCTATACCGCCTTCCTTCCATTTCTCAGATGCCGAGTGGTATCTTAAAATGTACTGTTTGGCGAATACTAATGTAGTTCGACTCCTCCTAAGGCCTGAGGCCAACAGTGGTGGGATTTGCCCAAGGCCGCATAATCAGAAGGAAGTCCAGCCCCTGACTCGGAACTGTCTAAGCAGGCCTGGCTTTGAATTTCAGACATTGCCATGTAGGACCCGGGGATCTCAGGTGAGTTACTCTCTCTGAGTCTCCTCACTTGTAAAGTGGGTGTCACAAACCTACCCGAATTTCCACGTGAGGAACCTGGGAGCTGACCTGTGTAGGCATTTAGCACAGGGCCCTGCACCCAGCACTTGAAGAAGATAAGTCTGTCATGATGTGATACAGGATAAAACACTGCATCTGATTTTAAATGGAGCCCCGATATCAATCTAATTTCTTAAATCCATTTTATGAGAGTCTCCATATGTACTGTCAGGGGATTTGGATTCTGTCAAGCTGAGGGTGTTAATTACACACCAGTGAGGCTAATTACAACCTAAAGAGGCTTTGACTGTCTTATTTAAGCACCCAACCGCCCCATTTTGCAAATACGGAAACTGAGGCTCCAAGACTCACTCAAAGCCTCATTCAGTGCTGCTGGATTAGTAAGGCATTTAGCTGAGATCTCAGCGTGGAGCTGCCAGAGCCCACCTGTTAAGAAGCACCTAGAGGGGCACCTAGGTGGCTCAGTCGGTTAAGCGTCTGACTGGAGCTCAGGTCACGATCTCATGGTTTGTGAGTTTGAGCCCCACGTCGGGCTCTGTGCTGACAGCTCAGAGCCTGGAGCCTGCTTCGGATTCTGTGTCCCTCTCTCTGCTCCTTCCCATCTTGCACTCTGTCTCTGTCTCCCTCTCAAAAATAAATAAACATTAAAAAAAATTCTTAAAAAAGAAGCACCTAGAAAGGAGGAGAAAGGGGGAAATATACTTCAGAGGTCTCTTGGAGGGGTCACAGGGCACGGGGACCCCTCCAACCAAGGGTGGAAGACCGTGGAATCCTAATTAAAAACAAAGATGGGAGAGATGGTGATAAGAGTCATTTACAGAGTGCCAGGCAGACACAGGTTCTGTGCATTTATTATCATATATTGTCAGCTTATATTTAATCTTCCCTACAGACTTGCAGGACAGATATTATCATGATCCCCATTCTCCAGATAAGGCAACTGAGGCTCAGAACAGTGAGAAGACTTTTTTGGCCACATCCACCTGGCAGTGTTGGGATTTGAACCCAGGTCTCAAAGAGCATCTACCGTTCACGGTGTGCGGGGGCCTGACTCTGTGCCCGGCATCTTAATAACAGCAGGATCACAGCAATAACAGTACTGATCCCTTGTTCACACTTGACCCCCGCCCCCCAGCTCTTTTAATACAACAATCCTCGTGTACCAGAACCCCGATTTCCAGATAAGGAAACGAAGCACAGGGAAGATAAACAGTCCGCACATCCTGCCGGTTAGCGGCGGGGCCACGTTCAGAGCCCAGGCCTGCCTCCCCAGCCCACCCGGAAAGCCCTCCATCTGCACGTGGCGCCAGCGTGTCTCCCGGCCCACCACACCCGGGAGAGCCTCTGATGTCTACAATTCCGCCCTGCAAGGCTTTGAAATCTCCCCCTACGCGCCGCCCTGCCCTGCCAGGGCTTGTATCTGCCCAGCCCGCCTTCGCAATGGCTTTTATTGATTCTCCGGTCTGCGATCCTGTGCCAGGAACACACTCTTTTTAATGGAGCATTAATTGGGAGGGAAGAGAGAGAAAGCTGTCCCCCTGCTTAACAGGGACTGAAGTCTCCTGTCTTCCCTTCCTTTCTCCCAGGCTGGGATGTGGCGGCAAGGACCCCGGCCTGGCGTCCTGGGCAGGCCCACACTCTTCCTACTGCTGACTCATGGCGTGACCTTGGACCGGTCCCGCTTGGGCCTCAGCCTCCTCGGCTGTAAAATGGGAGGAGACAGCCCCGCTTCTTGGGGGCTGGAGTGAGGATTTGAGAAGAAGGAATAGAAGAGTCTTAGCCCAGTTCTTGGTACCTAGTAGGTGCTCAATAAATCATCAAATTGCTTCTGGCCTCCCAATTCCCGAGACAGCCTCGGTTTGGACCCAGGCAGGCCTTGGACAAGTTACTTTCAGCTTTCTCCTCTGTTAAAAAGGCTCAGTTTCCCCATCTGCAAAAAGAGACAAACAGGCCCCACCTCCTCTGGTCGCCTTAACTGAGACGCTACAGGTAAAAGGCATAGTGCGGTGCCTGGCAGAGAAAGTGCTCAATCAAGGTCCCAGTTACTACCCTCATAGTGACTGTCATGCCTCAGTTTCCTTATCTGGAACAAGGGGCCCCATTCCTCTTGAAGCCTGCTGATTACTAGCTCTATCATGGCAGAGCATGAAACACACCCTTCTAGACACTGGGGTGCCATGAGCCCCATCTCGTCCTTGGCTTTGTATTTCTTCTCTATCTGTTTAACTTCTCCTTTCTGTTAATTTTTTTTTTTTCTGTCAAAACCTATGAGGTGGGTTCTGCTTCCCTGACTGTGCTCTGATTGACAGAGCCCTCCAAAGGCCCGGCGGCTGGTCAGGTGGAGGTGTTGCCTGGAAGCCAGGGAAAGGAGAGCTTTTTCACAAAGATAGCTTCTGTGGCCTGCATTCCTGAGCTCTGAAGTCACCTGTGTCACGCTGTCACAGTTCACCCTCTAAGGGAACAAACATTCTCTTGGCCATTCCCAGGGCTGAGGCCTACCCCCTTCTCCCTGTTCTGTCTCACCCCTGCCCTTCACTCACCAGAAACCTCCACGTATCCGTCCTTGGTCTTCACCATCAGCTCCTCTGGCTTAAAGCTGTGCACATTAACACACACTTTCCAGGGCTCCCCAGGGAAAGGTGGGGGACTCCTGCCCTCGGCAGGTACCCCAAACCTGGCTGCAGCCGTGGGCCCCCGAGGCACCATGCCTGACCTCAGGGTTCCAGGCCATGCTGGGGAGAATCGAGGCAGGGCCCAGTTGCGCCAAGAGGCGGTCAAGTCATCCGGGAAGGGGTCCATGCCAAAGTCGTCATCCAGCAGGCGCGAGGGGAGGGATGAGTCTCGGAAGGGGTCCCTGCGCAGGCGGCTTGGGAGGTGGCAGGAGAAGGGCATCTGACCATCAGCCATGGCTGCTGAGCTGGAGGGGAAACGGAGGCTCAGAGAGAGGCAGCCACCTGCCCAAGGTCACACGGCAAGGTGATGTGGGTCGGCTGGCCCTCCAAGCTTATTTTTCTGCTTCAGAAAATGCTGAACCATCCACTGCCAAGGATAAGGGGATGTGTACCCGGCTGGGGTCCCAGCCCCCAAAGGCCACCACCAGTTGGTCCAGCAGAATTCCAGAGGGTCCCTCTCCGCTCTGCCTCACCAGAGATCAGCCAGTCACTGTCCTCCCAGACTGTCCAGGCTCTCAGCCAGAGCCACTGAGATGTCTAGAGAAGAGCCAGGAGCTTAAGAAACCCAGAGACGCAGGCCTAGAAACTTCTTGTTTCTTCTGGGCTGAGAGCCTTCTATTTATTGCTGTTTGGGGCTGGAGGCGGGTTTTGCCCGCGCCTCCTGTCACAGGAGTATTCGGAGGTGATGAACCAGCCCCTGAGAATCCGCTGAGGGAACAGCTGTACTCCCGGGGGGCAGGGAGGGGCCAAGTTCAGCCTGCCGATCCGGACACTCTCCTCCCTCGGCTGGGCTCGACTCCGCCCCCTCTCCTCCGCTCGCTCCCTCCCTGGCTCCCGGAGCCGCCTCCCCGCTCTCGGTGCAAAGGCCGGCTATTAATAACCCTCTGCCTGCTGAGGGTTCAGGTCACCGTCGGAAATACCTTCCCCAGAGCGTGCTGCGTCCTGCCCTGCTTGGGGACCTGATGAAGGAGAGGAGAGGGTTGAGAGCCCAGGGGATTTGAAGGCAGGTGGCTCTGGGCCACAGTCCCCACTTAACAACCCACCCTTTGGTGTTCTCTGAGAGCAGTAACATTATTCCCCAGCCACCTGTTGAGCTGTCAGTTTTCCCACCTGTAAAATGGACACGATAGTAGCCACCTCATGAATGTGTCATGAGGAACACTTGAGGCAATCATCCTTAAACATTTAGCAGACTGACACTTTTATATATTCAATTTGGAGTTCTCCATTACATAACGCTTGCTGAATGCTGGGCCCTGTTCTAAGTGCTTTCCAAATATTAACTGGCTTCAACCGCACCAGTCCCGGAAAGTAAGCGTGGTGCCGCTGTCCCCATTTTGCAGATGAGGAAACTATCACAGGGAGTGTTAACCAATGGTAGCTTCTACTACTAGTAATAGTATGACTGTTAATAATGATAATTATTAGAAGGTGCTGTACCCAGGCAGGGTTTCTGGTCTAAAACTGAAAGCCCAGAGAGGACATGTTTTCTAGACTTCTCTGCCCCTCCCACCTAGCTTGGAGAATGAATTTGTAAACTGTCCTTCGACCTAACAGCCCCTTGAGCTTGGGTTCTATCTGTCCCCAGCAACAGGTGGGCAATTGGGCATGCCCTTCTCCCCATGGGGGGCTTCAGGGTCTCAGCCCCGCCTTCCTCCTGGGGTGGGGTGTGGTGGGGTGGGGGTGTTGAGGAATTCAGTGAGTCATTGGTTGAGAAATCGTTTTGATGTTCAGCAGTGCCTGCATGAGCCCGTTTGCTAAAAATAATCCTATGGAGAACAGCAGTTACCATCATTTTTGGCCTCCTCTCAAGGACCTGCTTCTGTGGGGAGCACGTGGCCATCATGTTAAACCGTGACAACAACAGGGATGTTCTCACCACCCCCATTTTGCAGGTGAGGAAACAGAGGCACAGACGGTTGGCCCATGCACACAGCGGCAGGGGTGGGGGGCGGGGAACCAGGGCCTGAGCTGAGACCCCCCCTTCCCTCCCCTACTGGCAGAGAGAAGAAGGCTGAGGCGCCCCCATCCCCAGTGACTGGGTCCCCACTTGACTCTGGTGAAATCATCAAGCTAGAAGCTTGAGGCTGACGTCATGGCTGGGCACAGAAGCCTCAGAGTGCCTATAATTACAGCAGGGGCGAGGCTGGCTGGCTGGTGGAGCCAGAACGGGGAGAAACACTGCATGACACAGAGAAGAAAGCTGGCCCTGCCTGGGACTGGGGCTGGGGCCAGGGTGAGGTTTCTGAGTGGGTGGCTGGGTCCCCAGCAGTTCGTGTGTGGATCTGAGTGGGTGGAACGCTTAGTGTGTTTATGTGTTTCTTTATGGGTGAGTCTGCTGATGGGTGCATTCTGGAAGACTCCCCGACTCCTTCCTTTCTAGGCCTCCTTTCCACAACCCCACAGAGCCTTCATCTACCTTCTCATTTCAAGGATGCTGCCCGCAGGAGAGGAGGGAGCCTGTGCAGCTAGAAAACAGAAATAGCAATCATTAGCATTTATCCGGCACTTTCCATGCTCCAGGTTCTGTTCTAAGCACTTACAACTTCCGTATATTAACTCATGCAATCTGCTCCTATAACCCTATAAGGAAGGGGCTTTTATTATCCCCATTTTACTGCTGAGAAAACCAAGGCTCAGTGAGATTGCATGACTCACCCTTGTCTACGCACCCAGTTAAGTGGCAGAGCTGGGATTTCGAACCTAGGCAGTTTGGCTCTTGACCCCTCATTTCCCGAGCCCTGACCGTGTACCAGGCCACGCGCTCAGCACTTTATTCGCGATCTCACTGGACCCTCGTGATTCAGAGAAGTGAAGCCGCCTGCCGACGGCCACACAGTGGGACTTGGGAACCCCCGGGTCTTGTCAGGTGATCCTCCCATACACCTGCTGCCCTCGGATTCTCACCGCATTTCTGGGTCAGGCCGCCTTCTGTTTTGGGAAGCTGAGGAGGGAGGTAGCTGGTCATTGTGCTGACCTAGCCTCCTGGGGAGGAGTCAGTAAACCCTACTGGCTGTCATCAGCCAGATGAAAACACGGGGCCAGGACCTGGAGAAGCCCGGGAGGGGAGGGAGCCTCCAGGCTGGCTCTCTCGGGGAGGGAAAGACCCTGTGGAGTGTGTGCGTGTGTGTGTGTGTGTGTGTGTGTGTGTGTGTGTGTGTGTGTACTGCGGCAGGGGACAGGGGCAATATTAGACCCCGGGTCCCAGAGCAAGTGTTTTCTTGGCTACTTTCCTCTCAGAGCTTTCACATGGGAAGGACCACAGTTAATCCTCAAACAGACAGCCCAGGGGGTGGGTGACATCACCCTGTAGTCCGGAAACAGGGGCCCAGGAAGGAGCAGCAGCTGCCTGAAGCCACACAGGTAGTGGCAGGACAAAGACACAGGTCTGTGGTCTTCCTTTCCAGGGCACAAGACCCCACACTCCCTCCTCTCCTAGGTATTCCCGGCCCCTGCCCCACCCAGCCTCACCCCCCCTTAGCCCTCACTCTGTGGGGGGTAGGGGCTGCAGGGGCTGCAGGGAGCGCCCCTATAACTCTCTCAAAGTCACGGCTTTCTGGGCGTCATGTTTGCTTCGTGTCTTCGCCACGGTTACAGGGGCCTGGAGCTGTCGTTTCAGGCGTGGGCGCAGATCCCGGCGGCCTGACATTCACCCAGGCTCCAGGTGGAGGAAGACCCATGAGAGTTCCCTCTGTTGGACAGCCCAGGAGCCCAGCATCTCTGCAGCAAATAGGACAGGTGAATGCTCATATCTTTTTCCATTCCCCGTCTCAGACCCCTGATGGAATTTCCAGCACACTCCATAGGGGCGGGACCCTTGGGTGCCTTGCTCACGGCAGCATCCCCTGTGCCTCGTAGGAGCTCAAAGCTCCTGCCAAGCAGGTGGTGTCCTGTTACCAACCCTGTGTCACAGGGTCACGTGGGGCAGACTCTGTGCACAGTAACAGCATTAGAATAGAACTAAAATTTCCAGAGTGCTTAGAAGGTGCCAGCACCCAGTGGAATGCTTTCCAGGCATGCTATTGATTTATTCCGCATCACAGCCCCCCTCCCAGAGGCTCGTGCTATCATCATCTCCATCTAACAGGTGAGGACGCTGAGGTTCAACACAGGAGGGAACTTGTCCCAGGCCTCCTCCAGCTGCTGGGTTCCAAACCCAGCTGTGTCTGAACTTCAAGCCCAGTGCTCTCTCCTTGGCCAAATGCCCATGCAAAAACAAGGTGATTAATAAATAAAATAAATAAACAAGCCACATGGTCCCTCCCTTCCCAAGTCAATGTCCTCACAATCCTACACAGCTAATGCTTATTTATTGAGCTCTAGCTTCCTGTTACTATTATGTCCAAAATTCTTTCCAGAATGTTCTGAATAATAGTAAGTCACGATAGCTGCATTTTCTGTTTCATGGAGGAAAGTTTTATTAATTATATGGGAAAGGGAATATACAGAATTAAATAATTAGAGTAAATATAAAGAGGGGGAGAGTATAGAGAAGAACAGAGAAGGGTTAATATATCAAATCGAGTACTCGCAACATCCAACCTTCCAGCTGGGGAAGAGCCCCGCTGGAGTCCCGATTGGGTCCTGGGCAATGCATCCTCCCCTCAATGTGAGGGTTGCAACTAACTATTCCCAGCAGGGCAGTATATACACTACCCATGTGTGATCTGTGGTTAGTCATGAAGTTAGCCTAAGTGCAGACCTGAGCAAGCTGGGTTTTTTTCTGTTTCTCTTATCCTATCTCACAGTCTTAGGAGCCTAGGCATGAGCATATGTCTCTTCCCACCCGATCCATTCCAGGGGGCCAGCCTGGTCTGGCTCAAGGAGGTGAGGCAAGTTAATCCCTCTTGGCGTCAGGAAGAGAAGGGCCAATTCTGAGCCCGAGGCCAGATACAGAGCACAAGCCAACTAAATCCCCCATGACTGTGTATGTGCGGCTCTGGGCAGAATGTATGACTGGTCACACAAACAAGTTCACAGGACACAGCTTCCTCTGACCACCTCTACAAGTAATAATAATAATAATACTTAACATTTTGTAATACTTGTATCTGGCATAAACTGATTTACTTAATCCTTATCCAAATTGCTCTAAGATAAGTATGATTATCGCTGTTCACAGATGACAATATTGAGGCACAGAGAGGTTAAATTACTTGGGCAAGCTCATACAGCTTCTAAGCAGCAGAGCTGATACTCAGATCCAGGCAGTCCGGCGCCAGAGTCTGAGCTCCACACCACCACCTGAGTCTGTAAATAACAGCCCCTCAAACACAACACAGTAATGGTCTCCACCGTTGTTGGAGAACTCTTTTGTCCCAAGCTCCATTAAATGCCCTAATATGCCTTGCTGCTTTCAATCCTTATGACAACCCTACGACGTGGTAGTATATCGTTAGCCCCATTTTATGTTGAAAAGTAAAGGTGCAGAGGCAGATGTGTGCTGATTTCTAAGCCTGTACATTTCGCTGCCCAGTGGGCTGTGCCACATGGTCCCCACTGCATGTCTGGCCAGAGCAAAGGCTGTCCAAACCCTTAAGGGACCCAAAAGACCACAGATCACCAGTCTACCTCTCCCTCCACCTTCTCATCGGGTCTCCTTCTCTGGAAACTTCTTTGGGCCCTTCCAGACTTTCTCAGTAGAACAAGTGACACCAGAAACCCACTGATATTTGGAAGCCTACTGGCTGCCTGGGACGAGCCA